ATGTGGGAAATTGCACGAAGGAGAAAAAACGAGTGTGGTTAGCTGATGGAAAAGACTTGGGCGTACGGACCGGTGGAATTGAATGTATGTATTGGGGAGAGCACAACCCAGATACAAGTCTATTTGATAGAAGGTTTGAAAGAGGAATTAATATTGGGTATCGATTGGCTGAAAAGAGAAGCTACGATTGATTATACACAAGGAGCTATTTATTTTGGAAAGGAGAAAAGACGAGTTGCGTATTGGGTATTGCAAGGGCGAAATCCGAAGATAATCCAGTGAAGTTCGAAGAGGGAACTTGTCCGGATATGTGGGTGCCTTGTTATGAACGAATCGCAAACGATTTCCCAGAGGTTTTTCAAGAGGAGGTGACACAGTCGTGCACTCATTTAGTAGAACACCAGATAAAGCTGAAAGAAGATAGAGTCTTTAGAATTCGTAGATATAAATTTTCGCCGTTGAAGAAGCAAATCATTGACCAAGAAGTAACCCAAATGTTGAGAGCAGGAGTGATACGGCGGAGTTGTTCATCGTATAGCTCATCAATCAGGCATATGGAGCTACACGCTTTTGCGTGGACTATTGTCAACTCAACTCGATTACCGAAGACGATGTCGCCGTGTTGCCACCTATTGGGGAAATTTTGAAAGACATAGGAGACGCTACAGTGTTTACTTCTTTAGACCTAAGGAGTGGATACTGGCAGGTGTCTATGGCCAGAGATAGGGTCCATTTAACAGCGTTTCATACTCCGGACGGCGCAGCGTATGAATTTTTAGTCATGCCCTTTGGGCTTAAAAACGCGCCGGCCACGTTTCAGAAACTAATGCTAGAGGTATTGGCTGGTTACGTGAACGACTTCGTCCAGGTATACCTAGACGATATAATAATATATTCCGCTAACAGAGAATTAAACGAGAAACACTTAAGATTGGTTTTGGAAAGGCTGCGTTGTCATGGACTGCGGTGTGCTGTAAAGAAATGTATGTTCGGTGTGCAGGAATTAAATTATTTAGGACACAAGATTAGAAGCTTTTCAAAATTTGAAATTGATATTGTCTAAACCCTTGTGTTTGCACCGACCAGACCCAAACAAACAATATATAGTCCAAACGGATGCCAGTTCGATTGGTGTGGGGGCGGTGGTATTTCAAGAAGGAGAGAATAAGGAAAAACTGATCATCATGTGCAAGTGCAAAGTTTTCCCCAGCTGAGACCCGCTACCACTGCAATGAGCAAGAGGTGCTAGCCGTGGTGTGGGCCTGCAGGAAATATAGACCCTTATTAGATGGACGGGAATTTACCCTAAGGACTGATAGTAAAGCTCTATTATGGTTACAAAAGTATAGAGAAGATAAGGCAAAATTGACCCGATATGCGTTGTACCTACAAGAATTCAAGTTTACAGTAGAACATTGTCCGGGGAAGTCGAATAACTTACCTGATTTCGAAATCCTGAAGAGGAGGTCCTGGAGCCGTTGGAGGAGGAGCGGTTAAGTCCCCCCGAGATAGTACCTGGAACAGAAAGAAACGATGAGTTAGCATTACAGATGGTGAGAAGCATCGAAGAGGCTAGAGAAAATACATTACGGATCCCACCGACGTTCATACAACCGATAACGATAAATCAAATTGATGACCAAAATTTACCTTTATATGAAGTTATTGTGAAAGCCCAGAAGGACAGTCCGGAATATGCGGTTACAAAGGCCCAGATACGACGATTGCAGCAAGGAGAAGAGCCAGCGGATGTACCCTGGAAACGAACCCTGATGGAGAATTATGAAGTAAAAGATGACTTAGTGTGGTATAAAGAAGGAGACGCCTATAGACTGGTCGTTCCTCTAGAATTTTGGCCGAGAGTTATAAACGAATATCACGATAGTTTGGGTGCGGGGCATCCCGGAAGAGATGAAACTATTCGTTCCATTGGACTTTTGTATTATTGGCCGTCAATGAGACGACAGGTAAAGACGCACGTACGATACTGTTTGTTGTGCGCAGCGTCGAAGAGAGGAGGGGCATGGCAAGAAAAGGCGCCATTGAAACCAAGACCTCCACAAAGGCCATGGCAGGTCGTGAGTATTGATATTATGGGGCCGTACGCTCAGACAAGGAAGAAAAATAGATTGTTAATTGTGTTGACCGATGTTTGTTCAAAATGGGTGGAAGCTCTACCTGTATCCCAAGTGAGACCGCGTATCCTGATCGATTTTATGGAAAATATATGTCAACGATGGGGATATCCGGAACGTGTGATCAGTGATAATGGTTCAACATTCAGGAGTAGGGTGTGGACCAAGTATCTACAAGAAAAATTCATAAATCAATACTTCTCTCCCATTTATCATCAAAGAAGCAAGCCAGTGGAGAGAAGAAACCAAGAGTTAAAGAAGTTATTACGAATATATTGTCAACCAATAGAAGAGAATCAAAAGGATGCAGCGATCAACCAAGCTCTGTTTACGTTACGAAACCGTAAGAATTCGGCTACCTGAATGAGCCCTAGCACAGTTTTGTTGGGAGCTCAACTAGTTACACCCGGAGAATGGGGACACCTCGAAGTAGGGCAGCAAGTAGGAAATAACCCGGTAGAACGAGAAAGAAGACTTGATCGTGTGCGACGAAGACAAATCGTATTCGCTAGAAACTTATATCCAGAGAATCTAAGACCGAAAGTACAGTTTCAAGTAGGGGACCGAGTACTAGTACGATGCCACCCAGGAACGCAGACACCGTTGGGGTTGCCATGGAGTGGACCGTACCGGATAATTAATGTTTGTGGACTCAATGTTTGTGAGGTAGATCGAGGTGGATCAATAGTTCTACTACATGTGGATGACCTAAGACCGTGGATAGGCCAGAAGACAGAGAAGTCGAGATAGATCCACTTCATATTCCCGAAGAAGACGAAATACCAAATGATGTCGTGTTAAATCCAGACGAGGTTTAAGAGAATATAGCAGAACCGATAGAACAAGATCGACAATCGGAAGTTTCCGATGACGGAACGGTATCGGATTGTCTAGCATATCCCGATTCGGATTCCGAGAATGTTATGAGAAGTCCGGAAAGATTGAGAAGTGTAAGCCCAACAAGAGAGAACGCGAGTCGTCAGTCGAACATACTTACCCATGCTGAGAGGCCTATGTCACCACAACCTGGAACTTCAAAGATGTACTACCTGCAACGAGAACCACTGTCGACGGCACCTAGAATGGAGAGAAGCAGGACAGGGAAAGAAGGAGATGTTTGGATACCAACCAAAACAAGGGAAGTATCCTTTTATCCTTCTTCCCGTAAATTAAATCTGGCCCCGTTTGTTACAGACACGAGTTCGAGTTTGGTGGTGAACGTGGAGGACCCTGTTAGCCAGACGATTAAGTCGAAAGTGCCGCGGGACGAAAGAGTGGGTGCGATGATCGAGATGGAAGACGTTGTGGAAGAGGAGCGGTTTCCAAAGTCCGTTTTCGCGGTTCCTATTGTAGGGTTGTACCCCTAAAGAATCGTAATGTATTTTTGTAAAATATTGTAAATATGTATGTTTTAGTTGTTAAGATTTTGTAAAGACGCCTAGGTAATCAGGGATAACTAGATGTCTCCGGAGGGGGGTAGTGTCACGGTTTCGCGACGACTACGACCGTGATCCGCGAAATGCGAGTTGAAATTTTTAGACATTAGTTTTGTTAAACGTATAAGGAAATACGAGTCTAGGATTGGTGGAAACGGCGTTTTGGGGCGGGGCCTGTCGATCCGACGTATTATTTAAGACCGGAGTTGTCGTGGCCATTAGGGCCACGAAACAATAAAAAATCATCAGCAACACGCACAAATCGCGCGAGCCAAGGGGCCCGGCAGGCAAGCCAGCGCGCTCGGCGGCGACGTTCAGTCCCCCGTCCGCCTGTTCTCTATAACTAGCCCGCGCTGTCGTNCTGAGAGGCCTATGTCACCACAACCTGGAACTTCAAAGATGTACTACCTGCAACGAGAACGATACTGAAGGTATCGTTACAACGTTGGAGATAAATAAGGCCACAATTAGCGTTGACACATATATTGTCAGGTAAGTAGATTGTTTTTACACTAATGAATTCTTTTTCAGACTTTTATTTATTTGGCAAAAACTCCTTGGCACTCCGAATCACGAAACCAATTCGCTATTTCCCCAGCTAATTTTCAATATTTAACTTAGTTACTATCAAATTGTTTATTCCTAACCTAAACAGGAAGTTCGTAGTATTTTCGAACGACTCGACTACAATAATGCTATAACTTTGACTATGGGTCCCTTCCAGGCACTCCAACGTCCAATACGCAATTTTTTCTATATTTCTTTCAACAAAAGAACCAACTTTGATCGAGCGTAACTTTCTGTGTCAACCAGAGTTTCGCTATCGAGGCGTTCGCGTCCCTCGTATTTATTTGGACCCAGGTTCGTAGGCCACGCCCCAAAACGGGCTCTCGGCCAATCCGGGCCGTTTCTGATCCCCCTTGTTTAATAAAACTATTTTACCCAGAATTCTAACTCTCATTTCTCCAAAATTCGCGGTAGACGTCGCGACCGCGACACCACCCCTTCCCGTAGACGACGGGTGCCATTCGTTGCCACCAAGAAGTCTTACCCCTATCGTTACATAACTAAACAAAGTATACAACATATATACATATATACAAAATTTAAGGGTATAACCCTACGATGGGTACAGCCGTCGGCGGCTTTACAAGTTGCCCATCCTCGCGTATATCTTCCACCATCACTCGGTGTCTCATGGGTAGGTCTCCATCCTTATCGTTTCCTGTAACAGGGGGGCCAGTATTAAACATAGGATTAAGAGGAGGGGAGTATACTTTCCTTTTTTTATGTATCTCCGAGACAGCTCCTCCATCCTGTTGAACCTCTACTGCCTCCTCTGCTTCACTTGACAGGTCACCTTGCCTTCCTTGCCGTTGAATCCCCGATGGTCCTGGACGTGGTGATGGCATCCTCCTTGTTAATTCTTTCAGTGGGTAATCGGATTTCCGTCGTAGAGGGGGATCTTCTGGATCTGAGTCGGGATACGCGTGCCGTCCTGGTCGTCGTCGGTGTCCGATTCCGACGTTTCATCCTCGTCTCCCTCACTGACTGGGTCCATTCCTCGTTCGGGGTCGGGTTCCGATTCAATTCTGGGCAGGTGCATGGGATCCTCATTCACCTCTTCAATTTGGGGATGTCCCATCTAAGGTCTTAAATCATCTACATGTAGCAGTACCTGGGAGGTAATCCGATTTACCTCATATACGTTCATTCCACATACTCTGACCACGGTATATGGTCCAACCCAAGGGGGGCCTAATGGCGTTCGTACGCCAGTCGGGTTTCTTGTCAATACTTTATCCCCCACTCGGAATTGGACCTTCGGCCGCTCATTTCTAGGATAATGATCCCGGTTAAAGGATTCTTGACTTCGTCGGATATCCCTCAATCTCTCTTCCCGTTGCATGGGATCGTTTTGGACAGGTCTTCTCACTTCCGGGTGGCCCCACTCGCCTGGCTGAGTGATCGGAGCTCCTAGCAGGGCCACTCTCGGACTGACCCCAGTCGCGGCATTCACTCGATTTCTTAAGGTTAATAACGCTGGAGCAACATGTTCGTCCCACCGGTCTTCGGTGGTTCGCTGGCAGCCAATCCGGAGGAGTTTCTTTAACTCCTGATTTCTTCGTTCCACCGGATTGGCCCGCTGGTGATATACCGGTGAGTAATATTGAAAGATATATTTATGTTGCAAGTATCGAATACATAAGTTGCTCTTAAACGTCGGTCCGTTGTCGCTGATCACCATCTCCGGGTAACCCCATCGCTGAAAGACTGTTTCACAGAAATCGATTAATGTTCTTGGTGTCATCTTAGGGATCGGCACCGCCTCCGTCCACTTCGAACACAGGTCTACCATTACTAGTAAATACTTATTCTTCTTGATGGTCGCTTCGTATGGCCCCATCACATCTAGACTTATTACTTGCCAAGGCCTTTTCGGGGCCCGGGGCTTTAATGGGGCTCTCTCTTGCCAAGCCCCCCCCGTGTTTCGTGGCAGCACAGATCAGGCAGTGTCTCACGTATGTTTTTAGTTGTTTTTTCATCGCCGGCCAATAATATACTCTAGCGATGGCGCGGATGGTCTCGTCCCGACCGGGATGTCCCGCTCCCGGGCTGTCGTGAAATTGATTTATCACCTCCCTCCAGAAATTTACAGGTACCACTAAGCGCAATCCATCCTCCTCTTCGCCGGTATACCACACCAGCCCATCCCGGACGGTATACTGGTCTCGCAATGTCTTCTCCCAAGATAGTTGCGCCTCTTCCTCCCCGGCTTGAAGTCGTTGAATTCTAGCGCGAGTCTCCCCATATTCCGGGCTCACCCGTTGCGCCTTTACAATTCGTTCAAACAATGGTAGTGGTGCCTCCTCATCAACCTGATTTAGCAATATCTCTTGGAGGAAGATGGGCGGAATTCGGGAAGTCTTAACATTGGGTTCTTGGTCTAATCGGGTAGTCGTCAATACTATTGGCACGTCTCGCACCTCTTCTTTTTTAGATGGGGGGCTGATCTTCTCCTCGTCCTCTGGCCCTACGTATTCTTCGCCAGGGTTCCNGCCATAACGGCCCGTTCCCTGAACCCCGATATGGCGAAGAGGTACCTTCAAAGAGCTGTAAGCCAACTAGAGGACTGGTGCAATAGGTGGAAGGTGGCGATCAACCCGGAGAAAAGCACAGGTATTATGTTTTCTCGTAGGTACCAAACGCGCCCCCAGGGACACGTGAAGTTCAACGGAGAAGACATCCAGTGGGCGACCACCGTCAAGTACCTAGGGGTAACCCTGGATCGCACGCTGACGTGGAAGCCGCACGTCGAAGCAGTGACGCGCAAAGCGAAGATGGTGAGGCGAAGCTTTATCCGCTTCTGTGCTGGGACAGCCGTCTCTGCCTGCGGAATAAGCTAACCCTCATCAGAGCAGTACTGCAGCCGCAGATGATATACGCTGGAACCGCGTTTGGACACGCAGCGAAGACGCACCTAGCCCGGGTGCAAGCCGTCGAGAATATCGCCCTCCGTTGCGCGACGGGGGCCCCTTGGTTCGTCCGCAACAGCGACATTCGCCGGGATCTGGGATTCACCTCAGACATGGAAGCGATCAGAGAGCGCGCGAGAAAGCTTTTCGAGCGCGCTGAGATCCACTGCTATCCCGCTGATCCGGAACGCGGTGGACTACCGACCCGAAGAGGCTGCCGGCAGACGCAGGCGGCCTAGACATCAACTCCTGGACGCAGGGTGAGTCGAAATTTTTCTGTCTGTTTCAGGACCGCCAGGATCAAGAGACGAAAACGACGACACACACACACACACATTCCCCCCTACCTTCCTTATCCCACTCTCCCCTCCCGCGCTAGCCTAAGGGCCACCTTAGCAAAGCGCTTCCTAAGCTGCATAGCTGCACGACCTCACCCAAAACCACCACCCCGGTCGCAAACGACAGTCGTCGTTTGCGACCGATACACGACACCCCCGGGGGTATACACAGACGAGCCGGCGAAGAAAGAAGAGCGCCTGAAGAAAGGGCCCTAGCCGGCGGGGCCCAGCCAGGACAGGAGGAGGCCCCACGAACCGATCCAATCCGGGCCTACAGCGATGAAGTGGGTAAAGAGCTCGACCCCGCTCCATCCGAAGTAATTTTTCCTGCCAAGGATATTGGCGCGCGCTCCGCAGCTCACTTGACACCCATCCTTCGCACTGCACGAAGCTGTCTAACGCTCACCCGTGTACTTGGCTACCGCCTATCTGCATTTACAACTATACCATTCTTTTAATCGTTAAACCTATCCCAAATAACAAAAACAATTAAAAAAATATTAAAAATAAAAATAAGGAAAAAGAAAGCTCCTTTTGAAAAATAGAAACAAAAGAAATAAATAGACAAGTGAGAGGTAAAAGGGAAAAAGATAAATCCCACGAAAAAAGCATTATATAAAAAGAGCCGGCAGGCCAACTCTAGTGGAAAAGAGCCCATTGGCCAAATCTCTTTACACACACACCACATACATACAATACACACATACCACGGCGGTCAGTCTAGGCTGTCCGCCACCTTAAATAATTCGTCAACTTTCTTTAAAAAGAATTTCGTAACTTAAAAAGAATTCGGCGAACAAAGTTCGCATCAACGCAAACCAGGTATATAAATATTCTACGAGGTCTACGATGGAAAACCGCGAGCTAACGGGAATCGGGGCTTACGGCGGCTACCCTGAGGGGCTTCGAAAGAGACACGCGTTGTAACCGTGCGCGTGCGCCGGATGGCTCGCCAGTCGGCGCACCTGCGCCCGACGCACCGCCGGTCCTTCCGGTACTCTCGACCGGGTGCTCGGTATTGTATTCTATGGGGTTTTGGTCATTTAATTGGTTATCCGGTCGCATCCCACCTAGGTCCCGGTATAGTGGCATAGTACCCACAATTTCGACCTCTGTAGGTAGAAACGCCCCTTCTAGGGACTCGGTAGACGTCAGCGACTCTTGTAGCTGCTCCTCGTACAGTTCGCGGTCCGGTCGGGACGCGCATGCGCCTAACTTCTCTTTTGAGGTCATGGTCAATTGATACATCCTGTAAAATAGACAACAAAAATAGAACAGTTTAATATTGATCACGTGATATTAATTTATCCAACAATGACTCAAATACTTAACTAAATTGAAAAAGTTAATAACTGTACTGTTACGAAAATTTACTTGTTCAAAGTTTGACAAAAGTTCACTCACTCTCCCTATCTGGGATTCTCGTCTTACACTATAGTTCAGAGTTCTCACAGTTACTTGTTTACATAAAAGTTTTAAAAGTCTTTACTGATACCAATCCGATTCAATGTCCATTGATAAAGTTCTCACTTACCCTAGGATCTTAGGTTGGCCCAACGTCAAAGCTGCGTCCCAATCGGCGATCACTTCACTTGATTTTTAATGCAAATTTTAGGTTTCTTATTTTTAATGAAATTTACAAGAGCCAAAGTGATCTGCTAGAAATTTAGTTTTCAGTTTATTATGTTCTTTAACCAAGGTAAACACTACTAGTTCTTTAATATGTCTTTCTTATTTTTCAGGTTCTTACTACAAGGAATGGCGCAGAAGGCACCATAGATACCACAAACAGAAAAAATGAAATGCTGGAATGCGCTGACACATCTATTAACAGGTAAGTTTGTACTACACTTTATTTCCCCATTCGGGTTTGGGTGGGTAAGTAATTCGCGTCGTTCCGGTACGCCGCGAACTCAAAAAAGTCAAATTTCTTATTATTCCCACACTACTTGTCGACACCAAAAGTCTGAAATTACCACCCTTTAGGTGCTACAACAAAAATTCAGGTCTTTATTTCCTTCGCGCACAATACGTAACTGAACGAGTGTTCCCAACACTCTAACAACAACTATTACCGTTGTGCCTCCGGCAAAATCAAAGATTTTACAATTTTTCCCGCAAACTGGACCTCCAAGGTACCAGTCGTTTTTCCAACGACAGTAAATAACTCTATAACCACTACAATTTCAAATTTCACACGACGTAGCGGTCTGAGGACATTTGATAATCGCTCTAGATCCAAAACTGCTCTCTGCTTTTATATCGTTAGGCGGACGGGAGGCTCCGCCCCAAAACCCCGTTTTGACCAATCCCGGGTCCAAATTTTTCCTAACGTTTAACAAAACTATTTCGCTTTACCTCTAGCACACCATCCACGTAACGACGTCGTCCGCGATAATATATGAAATTTTTAATTTTAATTCGCGGATCGCGGTACCCGCGACCGTGACACCACCCCCCTCCGGAGACGGCTGGTTATCTTTGATCACCTAGGCGTCTTCACAATAAATCCTAACAACTAAACATACATATGTACAATTTTTACAAAAGTACATTACGATTCTTTAGGGGTACAACCCTACAATAGGAACCGCTAACAAGGATTTTGGTAACCGTTCTTCTTCCACGACGTCTTCCATCTTGATCATCGCCCCCATTCTTTCGTCCTGCGGCACTTTCGACTTAAACGTCTGGCTAACAGGGTCCCCCACTTCCACCACCAAACTTAAACTCGTGTCTGTAACAAACGGGGCCAGATTTAATTTACGGAAAGAAGGATAAAAGGATACTTCCCTTGTTTTGGTTGGTATCCAAACATCTCCTTCATTCCCTGTCCTACTTCTCTCCATTCTGGGTGCCGTCGACAGTGGTTCTCGTTGCAGGTAGCACATCTTTGAAGTTCCAGGTTGTGGTGACATAGGTCTCTCAGCATAGGTAAGTATGTTCGGCTGACGACTCGCGTTCTCTCTTGTCGGGCTTACACTTCTCTCTCTTTCCGGACTTCTCATAAAATTCTCGGAATCCGAATCGGGATATGCCAAACAGTCTGATACCGTCCCGTCATCGGAAACTTCCGATTGTCGATCTTGTTCTATCGGTTCTGCTATATTCTCTTCCACCTCGTCTGGATTTAACGCGGCTTCGTCTGGTATTTCGTCTTCTTCGGGAATATGAAGTGGATCTCTCTCGACTTCTCTCTCTTCTGGCCTATCCCTCCACGGTCTTAGGTCATCCACATGAAGTAGAACTATTGGTCCAGCTCGATCAACCTCATAAACATTGAGTCCACAAACTCTAACTATCCGGTACGGTCCGCTCCATGCCAACCCCAACGGTGTCTGCGTCCCGGGGTGGCATCGTACTAGTACTCGGTCCCCCACTTGAAACTGTACTTTCGGCCTTGGATTCTCTGGGTATAAGTTCATAGTGAATACGATTTGTCTTCGTCGCACACGATCAAGTCTTCTTTCTCGTTCTACCGGGTTATTACCTACTCGTTGCCCTACTTCGGGGTGCCCCCATTCTCCGGGTCTAACTAGTTGGGC